AAGTGTGCCTAGTTAGGAGCTCAACAGATGCTTTTGTTTACAATGAATTAGTCAAATCAAAAGGTAATGGCGACACACGACTTCCTGTCAAGATGGTGGCGTAGGTAAACGCGGTATCACGTCCTCCCACAACCACATCAAAGTTACAACTAAACTACAGAACAACCATCATTCAAAACTGCCTGAAATCAAGCTGAATGGAAGTCCTACCACTACGGAATTAAAGCAGCAGCCACATTGAGACTGGTAGGAGGGGCAGAGGCACGACATGCTGGTCCCACACCCACGTGTGGCAGATAAAAATCAGGATACCACTGCTGGGAAGGTCCTCCCTGAGGACTGAGGGGTCCCTGTCCCCCACCAGGCGCCCCGCTCAGGGTTCCAGTGCCAGGAAGAGAAATCCCTATAACTTCTGGCTGGAAACACCAGCAGGAACTGAGGCTCAGGGAAGCTGAACCGGCTGGAGCCCCAGGCAGCTCCTTACAGGGCCCGCGCACGGACTTATGGGACTCACTTCCTCTAAGCTTGGAGGGGAGGCAGCTTGAGGGGCACCAGGGACACACAGGGAAGAAATGAGCTGTTTGGACTGGAGCGAGGGCTGGAGAGGGGGCTTTCTCTGGGACAAACGTGCTGTCGAAGGCCTTTGTTCTTTTGGTGAGACTTTCCCTGGGGCGGCAGCCAGAAGCCATATCTGGAACTCCAGCAACCTGGCTCACACTGGTAGCCCCGCCCTGCTGACTCCCTGAGGCCCCGCCCCACCCAACTTTCAGGCCCACCCAAGCTGTTGCCACTTGCTTAACCATAGGATTGGCCTGTCTTGGATCCTGCTTCAGGTTTTTCCTAAATCCTTTCAAACAAGCAGCATCTGGTCTCAGCTAGCCCCATACCGCTCTTTAAGTAATACACAGAAACAAACAGGGAGGCAGCCAAAATGAGGAGACAAAGAAACGGGTCCCAAATGAAAGAACAGAACAAAACCCCAAGAAAAGAACTAAGCAAAATGGAGATAAGCAACCTAACAGATGATGAGTTCAAAATACTGCTTATAAAGATGCTCAATGAACTTAGTGAGAACCTCAGTGAACTTAGTGAGGGCCTCAAGAGCATAAAAAAGGACCAGTCAGAAATGATGGATGCACAGTCAGAAATGAAGGAAGCACTAACTGAAATAAAGAATAATTTACACAGATTCAATAGTAGAGTACGTAAATCCAAGAAGCAAACCATTGACTTGGAATATAAGGAAGCAAAAAATGCCCAATCAGAACAGCAAAAAGAAAAAGAATTGCCCTGGCCGGTTTGGCTCAGCGGTTGGAGCGTCGGCCTGCGGTACAGAGCGACCCGGGTTCGGTTCCCGCTAAGGGCACGTACCTCGGTTGTAGTTTGTCCCCGGCCCTGGTTAGTCGTGCGGGTGGCAGCCACTCGATGTGTCCCTTCACATCGATGTTTCTCTCTCTCTCTCTCTTCCTCTCTCTCCCTCCCGCTCTATCTGAACAAAAAATGGAAAAATGTCCTCGGGTGAGGATAAAAAAAAAAAAGAAAGAAAAAGAATCCAAAAAAATGAGGATAGTGTAAGGAGCCTCTGGGACAACTTCAAGCGTGCCAACATTTGCATCTTGGGGATGCCAGAAGGAGAAAAGCGAGAACAAGAAATTGAAAACCTGTTTGAAACCATAATGGCAGAAAACTTTCCTAACTTGGTGAAGGAAACAGACATACAAGTCCAGGAAGCACAGAGAGTCCCAAATAAGATGAACCTCAAGGGGCCCACACCAAGACACATCATCATCAAAATGCAAAAGGTTCAAGACAAAGAGAGAATCTTAAAAGCAGCAAGAGAAAAGCAGTTACCTACAAGGGAGTTCCTATAAGACTGTCAGCTAGTTTCTCAAAAGAAACTTTGCAGGCCAGAAGGGAGTGGCAAGAAATATTCAGAGTGATGAAAAGCAAGAACCTACAACCAAGATTACTCTATCCTGCAAAGCTGTCATTTAAAATCGATGGCCATATAAAGACTTTCCCAGACAAGAAAAACCTAAAGGCGTTCACCACCACCAAACCGTTATTATATGAAATGATGAAGGGTCTTTTTGGTTTTTTTTTATCCTCACCTGAGGACATTTTTTGTTCAGATAGAATAGGAGGGAGAGAGAGAGAGAGAAACATCGATGTGAAAGGGACACATCAAGTGGCTGCCACCCGCATGACCAACCAGGGCCAGGGACAAACTGCAACCAAGGTACATGCCCTTAGCGGGAACCGAACCCGGGTCTCTCGGGACCGCAGGCTGATGCTCTAACTGCTGAGCCAAACCGGCCAGGTCTGAAGGGTTTTTTTGAAGAAAAAGATAAAATATATGAGCAAACAAAATGGCAATGAATACATATCTATCGACAATGGAATCTACAAACAAAATGAGCAGGCAGAACGGAAACATTCTCATAGATACAGAGAACATTTTGTTGGTTGCCAGATGGGAGGGGGGTTGGGGGAATGGGTGAAAAAGGTGAAGGGATTAAGAAGTACAAATTCATTGCTAGACTGACAAACCTCAAAGGGAAAGGGGTTGGGGTTTGGGGAGATATAAACCAAAGAACTTATATGCATAAAAAAAAAAAAGTTAATGGCAATAGACAAGGTAAGTACCTCTTTTTCTCCGTCTTACAGAATTGATCTAAGAGCCTGTCAGGTCTGAACTCCATGTGTGCCTTATGCACATAGCTGATGAAGAACCATAAACTAGAAAATGGTCTGTGCTCACTTTCTACCCTGTAAAGTCCTTCGCCCCAATAACACCTGCCTCTACTTAATACTAACAGTCTCTCTTAGAAGGTATATCATCTGTTGGATAAGGGATAAAGGAAAGAGAAAAGAAGATCTAGGCAAAAGGGTAGAGGAAGAGGAAAAATAGGTAAAAATTAGAATGACCCGTGGTTAAAAATAATTTACTGATTTTTTAGATACATCTGGGGAAATTTTTAAAGGCAATTCTCAACTAATGCCAGTAACATTTTTTTTCTTTATGGTAGCGTTGCTGGAATTAAAATAGTCTCCTAAAATGAGTACTTTGAAGGACAATAGTCACTTGGTAAATAAATAAGCTATGGCATATTTAAGTATAATAAACTCATTTCATACAAGCACATCTTATACTATATCTTATATTCTGTCTTTTCAAATATTTAGAACTAGTAAAAGCCACGCATGCTCTAGTAACAATTGTGATTCACCATTAAAAGGAAACTTGAAAAGCTTGTATGTAAATATAGAAATACTGATTTTTGAAGATTTAGAAGCAAACCCAAATACATATACCTTTGAATTTATTGTCATTCTAGCTAGTACTTTTTGACACTGTTAAGAAATTTCAAATGCCTCAAAATAGTGAAGGATCAGGGATGAAAAACTGAGTATATGTAAGATTGATATATGTGTGATTAAGGCATAAATGTCTTCAAGAATATTGAGTAGCAAGATGAAGCTGCTGTTGCTGAGACAGCATAAGAAAGCAGGGTGATTCTCTTTGGTCACACCAGAAACTTGATTTTGGTTGCTACAAATTCTACAATGAATAAAAAGAGGTATAACTAGGTTGTTGTCTAATGCGCCATTAAATGAATGTCCTTCAAGGCTCATCAGAATGTTTTCTGAATTCTAAGACCTTAAAGAATGTGTCTTCTTATTCATTAAGAAAAAAATAAGTCAGGGATTCAACAACACTACATCATAGTGTCAATCATTATTCTATATTACATATGTCTAAATTATGTGTAATTGGTTACACACAGCCCTTACAAAACACATCCATGACAAGCTCTTCCCCCTCCATGTTTCTATGAGTGCTGGGGAACAAGGTTCCATGTCAAACAATCAAACGGCGTATGTCGGGCAGCACTTCTCAAATCTTTTACTATAATGTACATTTTAAATCTCCAAGAGGGACATACAGTATGCATTGTTTTCCAAATATATTTATCCATGGTGTGTGTGCGTAATATTCATAGTTCCCAGAACAGAGTTCTATAAATGCTGTTTGGCAAAGGCGAGGTCACAGTATGCCCGAGTTTAATTACTAGGTATGTACACTAGATTCTAAAGTTTAGAAAACTGTTCAGTAAAGCTTTCTATGTAATTGATATATAGGTATATATAAATGTAAATTCATTATAATCTGTTAAACGTGTATGTTTGCAGTCATTTTTTATAAAAGAGTATCAGACCATTAGTTAAAAATACTTATTCTTACTGGAATTAACTTACATCATATCTTTTTAGGGCTCCTTTTACAGTAACATAATCCAAAGTGAATTCAAAGATAGTGTGTACTTAGATTTTTGAGGTGTGAAGTTTTTATTATGCTAAAGGTAAATTGTGAAAAATATAATTTTTCTTATGCCTCTTTGTCATGGCAATTCCCATTCATCAAACGTTACCTGACAGAATTGCTAATCATTCACTTAGTTTCTTCATGTCTGTAATATTTTTAGTCTTTGACTTTAACAGTGTTTTTTATTGGTCTAATATCACATAGCTTGACTGAATTGTGAAATAAATTGGAAATGATGCCATTTTCCACTGCAAAGTCCATGATGGAGTATTTCTTGTTCTCAGTCTCATTCTTTCCCACGTCAGAGCCTCATCAGAGATTTTATTTACTTTGAAATGGAGGCATTCAGAGCTAGCAGCCTATTTTGGCCCAAAGCTTATTAGAAGTCACACTCTTCATACTTGTCAACCATAAGGAACTCCTGTTTGTGATGTGCATGTTTTTATTACCCCACCTACAGCGACAAGTGGCGCAGGGCATTTCCACTGTGACCATAACTGGAACTGCTCACCAGGGAAGTAAAGATACTGATTACACAGATCAAATTGAAAGACGCGTCGACTACTGTAAACAGCTGCTGTACCTTAAAAGAAAACTGACAGAAATTCTCCATATCAAATATACAATTATGAAAACTAATAGAAATGAATGTTCCTAGGTTGTGAAGTCTTACTTTATAGTTAAAATATGGACACTTCTGATTATTGTCCCACAGGATTCCAGACATAGAACATTTTGTTTGCTTCATAATTTCTTTATAAGGCAACTGACGTCCTGCAGCATCACTACAGGGAGCTCCCCGGAAAGAGGCATGTGTAATGTTGCAAACATTATCCTAGAAATGCAAAAATGTTCATATTATAGATGATTAACTAAGCATAAGTTAAGAGTTAAATCTAAATATACCAAAGACTATGAGAAAAAATATGTACTATAAACATACTGACTATACAGTATGAAAATTAAATTCCATTGTTAAATGAAAATATAGAACATTCAGAAACTTTCATGGGATTGAATATTTAAAAATAAACTCTCTCCTTTTTAGTTTCAAACTATGTTTTAGAAATTCTAAAGTTTACATATTCTATATATAGAATAGCCTATAAGTTCTAAATAGAATATATATATATGAAAACAAGGTGTAAAAATACAAAATAAAGAGAAAAAAAAATTACATAAGAAATGAGCTGTTCTTACCTCTGATAGATTCAGGCAAGTATAATCATAACCAAACCAGGGATGACCCATTACAAGTTTCTTAGGGTTAATGCCCAACTGGATGTAGTCATCAAATGCTAATCAAACAGGGACAGAAAAAGCATATTTTTTTCTCTTCATACATCTACTAATATGTTCATACAAGCTATGCAGCCATTCCAAATCTGAGTTTGTAAAAACAGGTGCATTTATGCAAAATACTAATACAGTGTTTCTCTGATATTCTGAAAGTCATCCCTTAACTATAAATTCTAAAACACTTTCTAAACTTTTTCCTTTAAGTAATAACATACAAACCATTAAGATCAAATTGATGCAAAAAAATTACAAAATTTAATTCTAGGAAGAATTAAAGACACATTTAAGGAAAACATGCTGATTGTGTCTATTAACTGCTAAGATGTATGTTTGATATTTTAGATTCTAAAGTTTTGATAAAGTTCTGTAAGTTTTAAATTTTCGGTCTGGGATGACCTTGGAATTTCTAATAGAAAGCACAAGTGTTCCATGTTTTACAAATATCCTAAAAGTACGAACTACAGCTGGGGATGAGAAATGTCCCCTTCTTACTCTGTATTTAATACAGAGTATTAGATAATTTATATAGAAACAAAGAGAAAAATGAAGAAAGTACTGCTACTATCAATCCCTTTCTGCCCAATGCTGCAAGATATGTTTTTCCACCAAGAGAAGTCCAAGACCAACTAGAATGTTAAGTAAATTTGGTACTTTTCAGGGCCTTTGAGGTTGTTGTGTACCATTCAATATCCAAGAAAGGGCTGGGGTATGCATCATTTCCCAAACATATTTGATTATGAAACTTTTATTGATAGAACACAATTATCATCTCTTCCATGAAACACAGTTTGGGAATATTAAATTAAATAATTACTTTTTAATTGTATCAGAATTAAATTATTTGTCAAAATTTTAATAGTATGTGCTGTGATCAGACTATTCTGCCCAAACAACGAGGACATGATAAAATGAGGCCAGGTTCTAAGGTTTTACCTCTATATGAAAAAGAAAGAATTTTTAAATGTATTTACCAATTAACAATTAATCAGTGCCAACTGTTTGAGAAAAACTTACTTGAGTCCATATGATAACAAGCAACCTTTAATTCGATTAGCTGATGGGATACAAACCAATGCAAACTTTGAAAAGTATAATGCATCATATGAATGACAGATCACAAATACTCTTAATTGTGATGCTATACAGTCATACCCTCCTTATTGCACTTCAAAGATGTTGCTTGTTTTGCAAATTGACAACAGACTCTCCACCCACAAAATGATTATGACTTGCTTTATTGTGATACTTGCTTTATTGCTGTGGTCTAGAACCAAACCTATAATATCTCCTAGGTCTGCATATAATTTGTATACAGCATGTTACTAATAGTAATTGTCAACATAAAAGCCAATCCTATTAATCATGTATAGAAGGTACTCAGTCATGACTATCTTTGTTATTAAAGTATTTACTATTGGTTATTTTAACAAAAAATACCTTGTTAATTTCTAGATTTAAAAATATCTTATTCATGTAATTTTGAGAGAAGTGTGACAACTTGAAGTTAAAACACCTGCTTGAGTTTCAACTATATAATACTTAATAGTTGTGCAATTAAGACAACACCCTTCATCTCATGTATAATAGATGGTTAATAAATAACATACTTATCCCACAAGATTTTTTGAAGAATTAAATGAATACTTTTTGTAAAACTTTAAAGCTCTCCAAATTAAGTATTTTTCATATTTCAAGAAAGCTTTACAAATGGAAAAGGTATATAAATGACTTAGAAATACTAAAATATGTCTTAGTGTTTGAGGTTTTGGAATTAATATTAGCAATAGCTGATTATTTGTTGCATCTTACCAGTTATTATCTTATTATAGGGAGCATTGGCTGCTGCGATACATTCTGACCAGATCTGACTTTGTACATTATACGACATCACAAAGAGAAAGTCACAGGCATCTGCAATCCCCCTATAATTATAGCACCTTCTGTCTACGCATTTAGGAGACCAAGGTACATCAAAGGTTACCTGTGGAGAAACGCAAACCATTTTATGTAACATGATCAAATATACATATTATATCAGTTGTTTTGTTGAGTACATATTCTCTTGCCTCATCCTACCCAAGAGAACAGAACTGCTTTCATAAATGAATGTAAGGTTTGACACATGTAGAACTAGAACAGTTCTAAGAAACATACTTTTTTGACTACGTGGACTGACCCAGACATATATTTGAACAATGTTTTGGATCTATATTTGAATAATGGACATATATTTGGAACCAGACACATTTGGACATACTATACAATGACCAGGAACAGAGAACTGTGTAGAGGGGTATTAAACTCAAATGTCTTCAGAGGTGAGACTGGAAACTCAACAGATTGAAAGAAACCGGTATAATGACAGTAAGGTGTGGTGGGGCCTCTAAGCAACTGGAAAATAAAAGCAGCACACAGAAATAATTCAAATACAAACGTGTTTTTGTTTTGTTTTGTTTTTTTGGTACATGCCCCTAGCGGGAACCGAACCCGGGACTCTGGTCCTCAGGCTGATGCTCCAACCACTGAGCCAAACTGGCCAGAGCGAGACTAGGGCCAAAAGTGTTTTTTTTAAATCGTGCAGGCTTAATTGGTCAGACATATGTCTGGCACAAGCTGACTGGCCTGTGTTGGAAGTTTGAGCTCTGATTTACAATTACATCATTATGGTAGGTTCATTCCAATATTACAGTTAAAGAATAGTGGTGTTTTATAGCTACAGGTATAATCAACTCAAATGTTGAGCAAATCACTTAAATGCTCTAATTTTATGAAAATGTTCCGTTCCAATAAAACTTGAGTGGTAAATTACCTTTCATTTTGAATGGTGAGTCTTATATGTGTGCAAATATTCTAAAGTTTCATTAACAGTTCTTAATTAGGCTCCCAGTAAACCCATTGAATAATTATTACAAACAATTGAGATACTTTGGTTAAAATTTTTACACTTTTGCCAATTTATTCTACTATTACTCTTTTTAAAAGTAATAATTCTTGGAATATTAGCACTAAATTAATCTCTCTGCTTTACAAAAAAAAGCTTATAGGTTATAAAGTGAAATTTTTACTTATTGGACCCTGTTTTATTACTGCTTCCTATTACAGAATGGGAGCTATACTATTGTAAAGAAGAAACTAAATAATTGCTACCAAGCAGGTAAATTTCAAATCCATTTTGTAAGTCCTTACTTCTCTCCTGAGCATTAAGAGCATTTCCACTGGGATTTCATGTCATAGTTAATCTTATATTTTTGAGAAGGCAGCATTAATAATTTAGACAAATCAAAAGACTCTGGTCTTGACTCTGTTATAACTAGGTCTGCGTAACGTAAAACATCTAAATTTGTGTTCATACCTATGAAAATGAGGCTGTAGAAGGAACTCTTCAAAAGTATTTTTAGTTCTTTAATTCTATGACCAACATTCTGTAATCTTAAATTACCATCTTTACCCCCAAACACATTTCTCCTTCCAGACTCTATTTTAGTCCCTTTTTTTTTGGTCACCAGTTTCGGAACCTTTTCTGACTCCTCTTCCCTATACTCCATCACTAATCTCATATTTTCCTTTGGGTGGCTTCTCACAAGTGTTCAGCCCTCTCTTTTCCATTAATTAATTCAATAAATATTAATTGAATACTTGCTGACTGTTAGGGTTATGCCATCATCACAATCCAAACCACAAATCCCATTATTGTTTTATTGGCTTAGTCCTTACTGGTTTTCCTTTCTCCTCTAGACTATTTTACACACTGCTATAGAATCTTCTTATCCAAACACTTTCTACACATGTAACCTGTTACTTACAGAATAAATTGTATGCCCTTCAGTCTGATATTCTTGATCTGACACAATCTGACCTATCTTGGCAACTGTGCCTCCCACTAATTTACCTAACATGAACTTGACATAGAAGCCCAAATTGTTCTACTTGCCCCTCAAACATAGATATTCCTACTGCAAAGTCTGCTCAATCTTTCTTCTTGCTGTCTCACTATAGCTTAACCAGTACTAGCAAATAGGTTATTTTTTTCCACACACCAATTCTAATCTATTAATAACAGCAATGTAATGAATGAGGGAAAAGTTTTTAAGACCAAACTATGTGAGGAGAGGAGTCTGGCTGCCTCAGTCTGAATCAATCACTGGGGATATTTTTGTGATTCTGAGAGAGGTTTGGAATCACTGGTTAATATCACTTACATAATATATAATATAAGATATATTTTATCTCTCTCTATATTTCCTAGTTAACTAGATTTAAATTTTTTGAAAGGCAAGTATCATTCATTCTCTCAATGATGTTTAAAGGAGCTGGTCCCTGTCTTCATAAAACTCACTGTCTAGGCTTAATATTTTATTTTTAGCTTTGTTGAGGTATAATTAACAAATAAAATTGTAATATATTTAGAGTGCAACATGATGATTTGATGTGCATATATATTATGAAAGGATTCCCACCACCAAGTTAATTAACACATCAAACATGCCACATATTTACTTTTTTTTTTATTAGCGATAATATTTAAGTTCTACTTTATAATCAAATTTCATTTATATAATACAGCATTATCAACTATAGTCACTATATTATATAGTAATCCTCAGACTTTATTCATTTTTTAATTATAAGTTTATACCCTTTTACCAGCCTCTCCTATTAAGATTCTACACATAAGTGATACCATGTAGTATCTGCCTTTGTCTGTCCGGCATACTTCCCTGAGCACAATTTCTTCCAGGTTATTCAAGTAGTCACTAATGGCAAGATTTAATTCTTTTTCCTTTTTTTTTTTTTTTATTTTGAGAGAGAGAAAGGAGAGAGAACATAGATTTGCTGTTCTACTCATTACTCATTGGTTGATTCTCCAGTGCCCCCTGACCAGGGATAGAACCCACAATCCTGGCATACCTGAACAATGCTCCAATCAACTGAGCTACCTGACCAGGGCTTGCCTTCTTTTTAAAATCTGGGTAATATTTCTGTGTGTGAGGGGGGGGTGGGGGGGGGGAGATAGGTGGCGGGAGAAGTATAATCACATTTTCTTATCCATTCATCCATTGACAGATACTTAGGCTGTTTTCATAACTTTGCTCTTGTGAATAATGCTGCAATACCATGGGAGTACAGCTATCTCTTTGAGATATTTTGTTTCCTTGGATATATATCCGGAGGTAGGAGTCCTGAATTTTATATTAGTTCTATTTTTAATTTCGTGAAGAACTATTTTTCACAGTGGTTGTACCAAGTTTACATTCCTACCAACAGTAACAAGGTTGCATGTTTATCAGAATTTATCCATATGTTCTAAGTTATCTAATTTGTTGATGTATAATTGTTCATAGTAGTGTCTTATGATCCTTAGGATGTCTCATTTATCAGTCGCAATGTCTCTTCTTTCATTACGTGAGTCTTCTTTTATAGTCTAGTTAAAAGTTTGTCAATTTTATCTTTCATAAAAACCCAGCTCTTAGTTTCATTAATCTTTTCTATTATCTTTATAGTCTATTTCATTCATTTCCATTCTGATCATTGTTATTTCCTTCCTTCTACTAACTCTGGGCTTCATTTGTTTTTTGTTTTCTTTTCTAGTTTCTCTGAAGTATAAGATTAGGTTGTTTATTCAAGAGATTTCTTCTTAATGCAGGCATTTATTAGTATAAACTTCCTTCTTAGAGTTGCTTTTGCCTGCATCCCATGAGTTTTAACATGTTGTATTTCTCCTTTCATTTGTCTCAAGATATTTTTATTTCAATTTTTATTTCTTTTTTTGATCCATTGGTTGTTCAGTAACATACTGTTTAATTTGTACATATTTGTAAATTTTCCAGTTTTCTTCTTATAATTGATTTTTAGTTTCATATCATTGTGGTCAGAATTTTTAAAACATGCAATACTTGTCCTGGCTGGGTGGCTCAGTTGGCTGAAGCATTATCCTGTACATTAAAGGGTTGCAAGTTTGATTCCAGATCAGGGCATATACCTAGGTTGCAGGTTCAGTCCCCGGTCAGGGCATGTACAATAGCTGTTTCTCTCTCACATCGGTATTTCTCTCTCACTCCCTTCCTCTTTCTTTTTTTTTAAATCCTCACCTGAGTACATTTTTCCTTTTTTTTTGTTTTGTTCAGATAAAGTGGAAGGGAGAGAGAGGAAGAGACAGAGAGAGAGAAAAACATTGACGTGAAAGGGACACATCAAGTGGCTGCCTCCCACACGACCCAACCAAGGCTGGGGACAAACCACAACGGAGGTACGTGCCCTTAGCGGGAACCGAACCCGGGTCTCTCTGGACCGCAGGCCGATGCTCTAACCACTGAGCAAAACCAGCCAGGGCTCTTCCTTCCTCTTTCTAAAAATCAATAATAAACATCTGACTATTTAGTCAGGGGCACTGACCTCTTTTCCCTTTGATTGTCAAATAAAAAATGACAACAGCCAACACAACAACAGTCCTCTAGTGTGTGCCCTTTCTTGAACCATAAATATGTCTCATATAATAGAGTTGCTTGTCGCATAATAAGGTTGTATCTGATTTATTAATTCTTGGTACCAGAAGTCCTTATATACAAGTACAGGCACCTGATTTTAAGTCACTTTGGAGCCAAAAGGGGAGGTAATTAGTATATATTTTTTTGTAAATTAATCAAAATTATACTTATTTTTTTTGTCAGATCAGCAAGAAATATATTTTTTGGTGTGCTGCAGAATTTTAGTCATTTGTGTGTGCCATGAGATGAAACAGGCTGAAAGTCTCCGCTCTAACATGTAGTTTCCTTATTGAAGTCTCCCTGCTGATTATCTGTCTGGATAATCTATCCACTGTTGGTAGTGGAGTATAGAAGTCCCCTACTGTTACCGTATTTCTATCTCTTGCTCCCTTCAGATATGTTATCATTTGCTTGATATATCTGGGTGCTCTAATGTGGATGCATAAATATTTATAACATATATTGGTCCAGTTGATGTGTCTCATAAGTTCCTTAAGCTATCTTCAGTCTTTTTCATTCTTCATTTCTTTTTAATGCTCTGATGAGATGAATTTCTCTACCATGACATTTACTGATCCTTTTTTTCTGCTTGATTCAGTCTTTTGTTGAACCCCTCTGTTGAATTTTTCAGTTCCATTATTGTTATTCTTCATTTCTATGATTTCTGTTCAGTGCTTTTTAGTATTTTCTCTTTGTTGAGATTCTCATTTTGTTCAGATATTGCTTTTCTGACCTCAGTGAGTCACATTATGACTATTATTTTGAATTCACTATTGAGTAAATCACTTATCTCTATTTCATTAAGATCTTTTTATAATGTTTTATCTTGTTATTTTGTTTGGGTCTGGAGAGAATTGCAGTCACTACCTAGACGTGTGCTAATTAGAAGCCAGACCCTCAGGCAGCAACTTGTAAAATATGCTGTCAAACCCTTCCAGGAAAAGACTAGGAGATATGAGGGGGTTTGTCTGCTCTTCCTGAGCTGAGCCCTAGAGGGGAATACCCACTGCAAGTACTCAAGTGCCTTGGGAACCTCTTCTTTGCTATGTCCTGTGAGACCGGTGAGTGCAAGCCCTGCTGGCTTTTAGAGCTAGGTTTGGGGGACCCATCCCTCATGTGGAGCCTTAAAAAACTGAGGCACTAAATGTGCGTTCCGAACCCTCCACTCTCAGAGAAAAGCTGAAGTTGGGGCTCCCTCCCTATTATATGGTGCTGGGTCAGTAATGGGGTTTATGGCAAGAGTGTGTTTCACCCTTTCCTACCCATTTCAGTGTTATTTTCTCAGTCACCAGATGTGTAGGCAGTCAGCTAGATTCTGAATTTCTCTCCAAGGAAATTGTTTCATTTGTAGCTGTACATTCCATGTGTCCATCTGAGGCAGAAAACTCAGGAATTCCTATGTCTCCACTTGGTCCAGAATCTCCTAGTCTAGTAATTTTTAATCATATTCACCTATGAAACTCTTTTAAAAATATGGACTCTGGCCCTGGCTGGTTTGGCTCAGCGGTTGGAGCATCGGCCTGTGGACCAGAGAATCCTGGGTTTGGTCCCGCTAGGGGCACGTACCAAAAAGAAATATATATATATATATGGACTCTAGGCTCACTTAAACCATGTGAATAGTAATCTCTGGGAGTGGGTTCCAGTGTGAGTTTGTGTGTGTGTGTGTGTGTGTGTGTGTGTGTAAGTATTTCCCACGAATACTTACCTTGATATATGGCCAGGTTTGAGAATCACTAATATGGGGCCACATTATCCTTTGTTACCCACACATTGCCTGGCAAGATAAGATGCCTTGTGCTATGATCTTCTGCTCTAATCACACTCATTATGGCAGTGGGGAAGCACCCAGCCTTTTGTCATAGCTCTGACCAGATCTTCGGAGTGAGTCCTTTGGGCCTTGGTGGGCTCCAGGTGCTTTACACTGAACTTCATTCAGGTGCTGAACTTTTTTCTACTTAATTACTATAAAACTGAGAGTCTATTAGCTATACCTTCATGAATACATTTTGATAAGAAAATTTAGGGATTTCATCAAAGGAATTTTTACCTGTGATCCCTCAATTTCATGATGGAAAGAATCTGCAGTTTCTTTGACTAAAGCAGTTAATGCGTCATATTCAGGTGATGAACAATTAACTTCTTCCTCCACATTTATATTAATTCCGTCCATGTACTGTGTTGTGGCCAAAGTAACTTGCTGAGCTATCCAGGATGCTCTGAAATCAGGATCAATGATATCCTTTAAGGTTACTTCTCCTGTGAAAGAAATACACATATTTTGTGCATATATGCTTTTCACGGGTTAATGACATTCACTTTACAAACCCATTCCAAAGAGATCAAAATGTCCTTTAAACATCTCATCATTTTGGAATACTAAGTTTCCAATTTAAATATTCTAAATGAAGAAATAAGATATCAAAATAATAAAAAGTTATTTCTTATTCATCTCCAAAATAACCATCATGAGTAATTAGTAAAATCATTTTCAAAGCAGAAGCAGAAATTATGTACTATGACTAGCTCAAGATCACCCTGCTAATTACGAGTCACTTTTTGTTCAAAACAATGCAGTTTATATAATTAATGCTTTAATCATATTTGTATTTGTAAAATGAATTAAACAGTATTTAAGATTGAATGTAGGATGCTAAGAAATATACCAGATGAACATGAAAAGGGAATTTTTTGGAAAGCAGGAATACGAAATGATGCAAGTAAATTTACCTATTATCTGGACATACCTGGTAAAAGTTGTCACTCACCTTTTAGCACTACTCTGGCTTCTTTTGAATGAGCATGGCACATAAGTTCTGAGTCATATTTTCCAAAAACTGCCACAGTCGTAATATGTGACCAGTCATAATTTTTCCAAGTTTTGTCACCAACATCAAACACAAAGACCTGCAGGACAACAAGGATAAGCAAGCACAATCACTGAAACCAAGAAGCATATAATGCCGACCCCCCCCCCCCTTAAAATAACATTAAACACCAAACATATGCCCGGCACTGGGGGCACCGAGAGTCCAGAGTGAATAAGACATTCGGGTAGGGGTCCAAATATAATTGGTGGCAGGGGAAATTAGCCAGCCTGAAAAGTAGGCAGTTGTAGCTAGGAGGAGACTGTGTGGCAAGGCCTGGAGGCAGAGAAAACATGGTGGTTCTGTAACTAAACACTGAGTATGACTCGCGCCTAGAATTTGGATTGCAACAGCAGGGGAGAACCAGAGAGTGGCAGGCAGGATAAATCATAAAAGGCTTTGAAAGCCCTCTTGAGAAATTAAGGTTTTAGCCTGAAAAGGGGGGTTTAAAGAACTCACACATTTGTATTTTAGGTCTTTATTTATGTATGCATTTCAGAAAATTCTCTAAATGAAGTGGAAATGGATTCAAGAGAAGTGAAAACTGGAGGCAGATATCTAATAGGGAAGCTGTTGGAAGAATACAGACAGGAGATGATGGTGATCTCGACTAATGTTGTGGAACAGCAGACAAAGGTGAGATTAGTGACCAGATCTGAAAGATCCCAAGGAGGCAGAATGAACAGGACTTTGTGACTATTTGAATGAGTTAGGCAAGAGAAAAAGGGGAGTTTGATAACCCTCAAGTTTCTGGCTGTTGTAAGTGGAGCCACAGATGCTGCATTTCTAGGAATGATTTTTGGTGAACCTGACTTCTTAGAATAGTACTCAAGTTAAATTTTAACACAGACAATGTTATGTTTCTTCAGTATTTTTACCCCACAGATAATTCTAGAAGCACAGAAGGTTCAATGATTATTATTATGGATCCCAAATAAGGTGTTAGTTAATTGATTCAGCTAATACTTATTGAATTCCATCCTGTAAGGTATAGGAATAGTATATTGCTAGGCATGAGTGACAAAGAGGATAAAAAGAGAGAATAGGTTCGTTATTTAAGTACAATGGTGTTAAGGGCTGCATGGGAATGCAGGAGATCATGTCAGCATCTAGGGGACCCGCTTCCCCTAGCTGGGCAGGAAAACTTCACTGAGGACTACACACTTGTAGGAAAGGACTGAAATCTGGGGAGTGATGTGGACAGAATGGAGGAGACATACATATGAACAACAAAAAGCATTCTCAGCAGAGGGAACAAAAAGTGCAAAGGTCTCAATTCCTCAAGAGAATTCTGAATTTTTGGAACCAAAAGAACGTCAATGTGGCGAGACCACAAAATCCTGTAAGTACATGGAATCAGATGAAACTAGTAAGGTAGGCAGGTGGTGGCAAGATCAAGTAAAGCTTTGTGGACCAGGGGGGATTTTGTATTTTATTCTGAGATCAATGGGAAGCCATTAGAGTATTTTAAGTACGGGTGGAACCTAAGACGTACATTAAGAAATAGGAAAGGGAGAGGGAAGGAGATATCAGCGGGTCACTTTGAATAGAATAGATGGGGAAGGTTAGTGGGGAGAGCTAGCTATAAAAGTTAAACTGAACATTTCTCAATTTTCCAACCTCTAGGTTTTTGTTTTATTTTACTTTTTTTTTTCTTTACTGATTTATAGGGAGAGGAAGGGACAGGGAGAGATAGAAACATCGATGAGAGAACATCAATTGGCCACCTCCTGCATGCCCCGCACTGGGGATCGGGCCCACAACCTGGGCATGTGCCCTGACCACTGGGAATCGAACCAGCAGTCTCTAAGTGCATAGGTCAATGCTCAACTACTGAGCCACACCGGCCGAGCTTATTTTACTTTTCAGAATTAACTCTGCATAACTCATTTTTTCTGCTAAGCAATTGCCCACTGAAATAATAAAAATGTAAAAATGCAAAACTGAACAGCTTGTTTTTAGATTCATATTTCCATCACAAGACTTATTCCTTATCTTAATCTGGTAATTAAAACTGAATACGTTAAAAACAATACTGGTGGCTTGTGATATAATAGAAATTCTAAAAAAAAAAAAAAAAAATAGCTGGATGAACCAATTGAAAGTACAAGGGGAAAAAAAGCTATGTAGTCTAGTCTTGGGGTTGGAAAAGGTCAGTAGAGAAAAAGACCATTACCATGAACATAAAAATGAACACAATTTTGCTTGTTTGCACAATTGGTTTTCCAAATGCCCACAGACACTGTCTAACCTGCTAAGAGGTATTGCTGGTATAGTAAGTCTTTCAGATGTTAAGTATCCATAGTAGGCAGGTTCTCTCTCCATCATCAGCAAACACTTTCACCACTTTAATTTTTTCTCCTAAACAATGTATGTATGCTTTTTAAAACAAAAATTGGCATTGAATTGCCACAGCCTCAAACTTCATCTTCTAGATTAAGAACTAGCAATTGCCCCTACATTACAAAATAATGCTCCTTGGACTGAGCCTTTTCACCTCTGTGATGTCCAGTTCCTGCTGCAGTATCAAACTCTAGGCAGTCAGGTAGTTTTCAGGTTGCCTTGGAAACAGTTTGATTCCAGTTGCCAACGGCCTTACAGATTGTTAGTTAAATAGACGGAAAATTCACTGAAAGACCTATTTTTAGCCCCTCCTTGGGTGGTTTGTGAGGTGCCTAAAGGAAAGGGGTGGTGGGTCTAGGAAAGCAAAGGTAGGCAGACATTCCGCCCTGCAATGCACTGTTGGAGTGCCGAGATTCTTTCCAACTGAATCCTCATTCTCTTGAAAATCAGGGGGTCTTGCTACTTAGAAAATGTCTCATTATCCTAGCTCCTTGCTTGTGAGCCTAGAGTGCGATGCGGAGACACAGCGGGTAATGACAAGAGCTTTGTGTGGTTAGATCTGGGTTTGAATACTTGCTGTGTGTGAGACCAGGGAGAAGTTACTCAACCTTGCTGAGATCGAGTTTCCTCATTTAAAAGACGACGGAAATTCAGAAGTAGAAAGGCCCTGTGCTGAGTGTTAAATTGGTTTCAGCGCCCACACCAGCTCTTTCTAGGGCTCAGTTCTACTCTAACTCCTCTTTGAGCTTGGAGGACCAGACCCAGAGGGGCAGGCGAGAGGCGCGAACCTCGAAGTCGGGCTGTTTGTAGATGGGTTGGCACAGCGCTGGATCCTGGCACGGGCATTTGGCCCTAGCCCCGACGGGCCACAGCAGCGGCAGCAGCAGAAGCCGAGCGATCCCAAGGGCGCTGCTCCTCCGGCGGGCTAGGAGGCGCTGGAGCCTGAGCGATGGTCGGGACATGCTGATTGTTCACCCGTCACCGGTCACCTGGCGCGAGTGGGTTCCTCGGGCCAGGCCAGAGGGGCGGGGCCTGCGGCTTTCCAGGTGGGGCGGGGTGGGCGGTGCGCCCGGGGTGGAGGGGGCGGGTGGGGGCGGGTGGGGGCCTGGGCATTATTAGCCAAGGCTGGGTGCCTGCAGGCTGGAGGTGGTAGAAAGGCTTCTGTGGAAAGTGACTCTCCAGTGAGCCAGCGTCTCAGGTCACAGACGACCAGTTGACTCAATCAAGTAAATATCGTCTGTACCTTTCATATCTCCACCAACACTGCAGCAGTTAGTGGTTTGTGCACGCCTGTGGAGTCGGAGGTGGAGTATTTAGAGTATTATTTGCTATTAAACTACCTATTCTTTTCTTTTTTTAATTAATTTTTTTGTTACAGATGTTTCTCCTTTTTTACACCATTGGCACCCCCTTCCCCACCCCACCCCCGCCCCGTCCCCGGCTTTGTTGTCCATGTCTATTGGTTATGTATACATGCATATAAGTTCTGTGGTTTATCTCTTCCCACCCCTCCCCACCCCCTCTTCTGACTGATGTCAGTCTGTGCCCTACCTCCATGTTTCTGGGTCTACCGTATTCCTCAGACTGTTATGTTCATTATATTCCGTATACAAGTGAGATCATGTGGTATTTGTCTTTTTCTGCTTGGCTTATTTCACTTAGGATAATATTTTTCAGGTCCCTCCATGTCATCTCAAAGGATAAGAGATCTTTCTTTCTTACAGCTGCATAGTACTCCATTGTGTATATGTACCACAGCTTTTTTATCCATTCATCTACTGATGGACATTTGGGCTGTTTCCAGATCTTAGCTATGGTAAATAGTGCTGCTATGACCATGGGGGTACATACATTCTTCCTGATTGGTGTTTCAGGCTTCTTAGGGTATATTCCTAGAAGCGGGATCATTGGGTCAAATGGAAGTTCAATTTTTAATTTTTTGAGGTAACATCATATTGTTTTCCATAGTGGCTGCACCAGTCTGCATTCCCACCAGCAGTGTATTAGAGTCCCCATTTCTCCACACCCTCGCCAACACTTGTTGTTTGATGATTTCTTGATGGCAGCCATTCTGACAGGTGTGAGGTGATACCTCATTGTTGTTTTCATTTGCATTTCTTCATATGTCTCTTAGCCATTTGTATGTCCTGTTTGGAGAGGTGTCTATTCAGCTCCTCTGCCCATTTTTTAATTGGGTTATTTGTCTTCCTTTTGTTGAGTTGTATGAGTACTCTATATATATTGGAAATTAACCCCTTATCTGATACATCATTGGCTATGATGTTCTCCCATACCGTGGGTTGCCTTTCCATTTTGATGGTTGTTTCTTTTGCTGTGCAGAAGCTTTTTAGTTTGATGTAGTCCCGTGTGTTCATTTTTTCCTTTGTTTCTGTTGCCTTAGGTGATGTATCAGTGAAAATTCTGCTCTGTATGATGTCCGAAATTTTGTTGCCTACATTTTCTTCTAGAATTTTTATAGATTCACGGGTCACATTTAAGTCTTTTATCCATTTTGAGTTTATTTTTGTGTAGGGTGTAAGTTGATGGTCTAGTTTCATTTTTTTGCATGTAGCTGTCCAATTTTCCCAACACCATTTATTAAAAAGGCTGTCTTTACCCCACTGTATGCTCTTGCCACCTTTGTCAAATATTAATTGAGCATATTGCCTTGGGTCCATTTCTGGGTTGTCTATTCTG